TTCCTTTCTCAAGGAAATTAATAAACACAGTAATATATGATCCGAAGAGGAAATAGCTGACTACAACTCTTGAGTCTTAAAATCTACATCTATACTAAATGTACTTCTTCTAGTAAGCTAAGAGACCCCAAAAAAATCTATTTTAAAAAATATAACCTTTTATATCAGAAATAAAATCACCATTTAATTTAGGGGAGAAATTGAAAAGGATCAAGCACTGGGAAAATATCTGGCTCCTCACTGTAACCCAGAAGAGTGATTTCTTAGGCATAAATTTACCCATTCATTTTAAGATGAATAGTACTTAACAAGTGTTATGCTCAAAATTTCAAAATGGATACATTCAAGAATAGTAAATAGACTGGAGGCAAAATAAAAAAAAAACAAGACAAAATTAAAACATGATTATCAGAAATAATGCTACTTTAGTGCTAACCACAGATATACATGAACCCTTCAAAAAAAAACAAACAGACCATGTATATGCCATAGGAATACAGACAGCAAACTATAACAGTCTGTGTAACATATTTAATCAGATTGTGGAATATTATACATTATTTATACCAGCTTCAAATAAGAATCTATGAAAATCTCTTAAGGCCTTTTCCTCTTTTTAATGAGACAGCTGTGCTCAAGTCTTATCTACTGGCCTCTTCAGATGTTGCAAACTCACGAAAATTCAATATAGCCCACAGAAACTTATCTCCTGGCCAGCTAATGTTATGTTTTATATATAAATGAGATATGTAATCTTCTGTTCAGTCTCTGTTCTATCATTCTTGTTTTCTACCATCCAGTCAACTCATGCATTTTTGTTATTTGCTTAACCCCAAGAGGAACTTTCATTTTGGGCCCCTAACCTATAGCATTATTACAGAACTTAAATTATACCTGGATTCCTTTCATTTAAAATTTCCTTATGAAATTCCTATTATCTTTCTAATATTGTATTTCAATACATTTGTATTAGAAATAGAATTTTCATTTCTCTTTAATCGTTCTGATTTGAATACCAGCACTTAACGAATCATTTAAGCCACATTATTTTTAGAATGACAACATAAACTACTGCAAACTAATGGTGGCATATTAACGTTACTACTTGTTGTTGTGTGCCGTGGAGTCAGTTCCGACTCATAGAGACCCTGTACAGGGTGTCCAAGGCCGTGAATCTTTATGGAAGCAGAAAGCCTCATCTTTCTCCTGCGGAACAGCTGGTAGTTTCGAACAGCTGACCTTGTGGTTTGCAGCCAGATTCGTAACCACTACGCTATCAGAGCTCCTTAATGTTACTACTTATCCACACATAATTGTTTAATAGGGTATATTATTACTAATAGGTAAATAAAGATATGATAAAGTATGAGGACAACTCCTTTTTTGTCAAGTTAACAGTTTTGCTCTGAAATATTTGCTAATATTTCTGACTAAGCTGTGTCATCCTTCCACTAAACACACAAGAACACAATTATGCACACATTCAAATATACAATGTGGCATTCCAGGATAAGCACAAGGCTGGCAGTTCAAACCCATCAGTTACTCCTTGGAAATATATATAAAGTTGTTATGAGTCAGAACCAACTTGATGGCATCTAACAACAACAACTTCAATAAGTGTATTAACATTTATGTGCCTTATATGGATAAACCAAAGTGATTTGGTCAGATCTGAAACTAGAAACCAGAACTTTGTATGAACTGCTAGGTCACCAATGAGAAAAATTTTTTCCTTACACAGCTAATTCTACAAACATTATACCTGACAGAGTCTAAAGGAAAAGTTGGTATAAATTTTTCAAGTGATCATATTTTATTGGTTATGCCCAAGCCATCTATGAATGATAAATTAAAAGACTCTTTACCTGTCAGGACCTGAGTTCAGGCACTCAGGAGTTTCGTATTTCTCTTGAAGAAGCTGATGACAATACTAATCCCTGCACTGTGTAGGGAGGTGCATTCCTTGCACTGGCTTAAGTGCTAGTGATTTCACCAACCCTTGAAGTGCAGAACAGTAAAAAAACAGTTTTCAGCCGTTTTTCTTACTGGTTTCCCATTTTTTAAATATTACAAAGTAAGATCTCAAATATGTTTTAAGATTATTTCTGTTTAAAAGTGTCTTTGTTTAAAGACACATGCTGATAGGACTTTCAGGAGTAGTGTAAATATCACAAGATGGCTTTTTCATTAATTAAGAAATTAAACAAGAAATAACAATTTCATGACTTCAAGTAAGTTTCTGATTTTACCTTAAAGCACAAAGATTAGTAGCTACAGATATTTAAACAGAATTTACACAAGGTAGTCATAAGTATTAATAATTACTAGGTTAAAATATGGTCTCTCCTTTTGGCTCATCTATTCTCCTGCCACCAGCAATCAGTACTGGAAAAAGGTGGCAGTCAAATTCACAACTAATTTCTAGAGAAACAATATGTTATACCTTCCCACAGGTTAAAAAAAAGGTCACAAAATACTACCATGCCCAAGGACAAGATAAACTATGTAGAAATGGGAAGACCAAATCTGTCCTTGATCCTGACCTAAAGTTAATGCAACTTTCCATTCTCTTTTACTCTAAAATTAAATGGACTCACATATAACTCCAGGTTTTTCTCATTGCAGGAGAAAAGAATTGAAAAATGTACACTAGTCTGTTTTGAAGAAAAATATTTTATGTAGCTAAAAAGAGGCTGATGCTTTATTTAAATGTCACTCTGCACTTCCTATAATTTTCATTTCTCTCCAGAACTTCTTAGAACACTTAACACTGCTTCTTTGAGATACAGATCATAATGAGCATGGTACCATTCAGTTATACATATCCAGAACTTTTAAGTCCTCTAAATTCTTTTCCGGCAGTTTTAGAGGAAGATTGAAACAAACCTGAGCTGAAACTATGCCAGCTGAAAGGTACACATTTGTTTTACTCTATCTACCTATCTATAAAGGAGCTCTGGTAGTGTAGTGGTTACGAATTGGATTGCGAACCTTAAGTTCGAAACTACCAACTGTTCCGCGGGAGAAAGATGAGGCTTTCTGCTCCCGTAAAGATTTACAGCCTCGGAAACCCTGTACAGGGTCGCTATGAGTTGGTTCTGACTCCACGGCACATAACCACCACCACCACCACTACCACCTAGCTATAAGGGGATCACAGTGACTGTCATGGTGGCTCTGGATTGTGAACCAAAAGGTCAGCGGTTCAAGCCCACCAGCTGTTCCACAGGACAAAGATGAAGCTTTCTGCTCCAGCAAAGGAGTCACAGGACTGACTCAACGGCACTTAATAATTACAACACCTATATATACTGGATAGCACTTTAAACCTCTACACATTGAAATTAATTGAAAAGTTTTATACCTACATTAAAAAAAAAAAACAACTTGTCTTGATATGTTTGACTATGGTCTTTCTATTTTTCTTCAGTTAAAGAAATTAAATAATGACTCATTTACCAGACAATTGTTTTTCAGTTGGCACTCATTCAAGTACATTTGAAAGATCTGTTTCTCTAAACTTAAAATATCAATTTGATCTCATTTATATCAATTGAACATAAACACTTTTTGACAATAAGAGTTCTGGTGTGGCACTATAGTATAAGCGCTTAACTGCTAACCACAAGATCAGCAGTTCAAACCCACTAGTCACTCTTTAGAAACCCTATATAGGGTCGCTATGAGTTGGAACTGACTCAGCGGCACTTAACAACAACTTCTTGGCAATAATATGCTTAACTATTAATTTTTTTTGCCTTCCCATAGACAAGATAATTTAAGAAAATTTAATGAAAGAAATACTGCTGGGTCTTAAATGTTATTTGTGTACATCTTTTCAGTAAAATGCAAAGGAAAGAAAGGGATGAAAAGCAGTACAAAATATAATGTAAATGGTCAAATTTGTAATTTATTTTATACCAAATGATTATATTTCCTAAGAGGACACCTCAGAGCAGTACAAAAGACTTTTGACAATCAATTATTCTGACAAGAAATAGCACAATGAAATCAAAAGAAAAAAGCAATTCAGCACCAATACTAATGTACTTGTATGAGTTTATGCCAAACTTGGTAACTTTAAAATGCAGCTTATGTGGGAATAGGTTCAGGCCAAACTAACTACTCAATGTAATCACTGTTGTTGTTGTTGTTAAGTATCGTGGAGCAGGTTCCGACTCATAGTGACCTTGCACACGATTTCCGAGACTACAAATCTTTACAGGAGCAGAAAGCTTGATCTTTCTCCCATGGAACAGCTGGTAGTTTCGAACTGCTGACCTTGAGGTTAGAAGCCCAATTCATAACCACTACGCTACCATAGCTCCTTTATAACATCTAAAATACTAGTCATATCAAAAATGCTAATAGAGTTGGCACACAGTCTACAGTAGGCTTCTTTCTAACATACTTTCAAAAGTTTGTGAAAAAATTCTATTATCTTTTAATTCCACTTTTTTCATAAGCTTTTTTAAGAACCCTCATATTCTGACTCCGTAACTAACTCCATCATCTTACATTCTAGCTCATAAAGCAGGTATTTTTCTTCCAATTATGAGTAAGATTTATTATCTCAATTTTAATCTGTATTTCAAGAGGAAGAAATAAAGTTCTTAAGGAAATCACCTATAAACTAAGTCCCCTTGATGACCCTTGAATATTCAAAGTTCTTTAAGTTTGTAATAACTTTTCAGCCTTACACATATGGCATTGTTTTCATCATTTTACACCTACAAAAATGTGCTTTGCCTAGGGTCACATAATAATCTAATGTTTGAAATAGAATTAAAATTATGACATTTCCTTTATAGATCTCACTGTGATGATCTGATTACACTATTTCAATATTTGAGCTATTGCTATAAACATCTATAAAAATTCTATTTCAAAATAACACTGACATCTTAATCTGAAAAAAAAGAAAAAGAAGCACCAAACTACACACACATACATTCAAAAATATAGTAACAATATATTAAAATAAAAACAGTTCTTACCTTCATCTCCCTCTGGTGCATATGAAGCTGTAATAATATCAATATCAGCACAATTCATCACAATCTGATTGGTCGCCTGCCTCACCTAAAGGGGGTAAAAAATTAGCGATCAGAAATATTCTAATAATATGTACATCTTCAGCTTGGTCTAACATATGACACAGGCACATTTTTTTTACCCACACACTTCACTAAAATCTAGACTGAATATTTATGTATCTATAATAGATATAGTTTTTAAAATCTAAAAGCAATTTACATTTTCCAAATTATACTAAAAAAATAAACATTTAAACAGTTATTTAAACCTCTGATCAATGAGCCAAATAAAAGCAAGCTTTTCAACCAAAACCTTGATTTAAAATTTAATTTAAAATTGTTTGTGATGAAAACCCTTTTGTTTTTTAATGTTCACATTTTAATTTTGGTGAAAATATATACACAGATCATATACTCATTAATCAATTTCTACATGAACAAATCAATAACACTGGTTATAGTCTTCATGTTATGTCACCTTTCTCAGTATTTCTACTCATATTATTTCACCACCATCAACTTAGATTCACTACCCCCTAAACTATTCACCTAAGCTTTAGAGTTATTGTTCCATCTTATATGATATAGATAATTCTTTAAAGAGCACAATTCTCACATAAACATCTTTTACTAGTTTAGCTAAACAGCTGTTTATAGTTTAAAGATGACTTAAAGGGATAATTATGTTTCATGGTTTGAGGCTTTTGAAGATGGATACCCTAAGAATTTGAAATTGAAAATGAAACTCCACATCCTCTTCTCCGCCCCCCCCCACACACTTTTGATCAGGATTCATCTATTAATTCCTTGATCAAAATGTTCAGTAATGGAAGCTGAGCATCACCCAGTTCTTCCGGTGTCATCGGCAAAGAAGTCAGGACTGGTGTTGTTGTTAAGTGCTGTCAAGTCAGTTCCAACTTATACTGACCCTATATAGGGTTTCCAAAGAATAGCTGGTGGGTTTGAACCGCTGACCTTGTGGTTAGCAAGCTATTAGCCCACTTGTATATCAAATACATTATTATGACTTCTGTGAATACTTAGAGGAAGATATCAGAGGAAGATATCATGGTATTATAAACTATGATGCCAAAACTTCATAAAGCATTCTTTAATTTCTTTTCTTTCCCCAAATATTTCATATGCAATTGACACTAAAGTATTAACGACAGAAGTTAAATAAACTTATGATTTTATTTTATTTGTTTCAGATTAAAATATAAATCTGGAAATGAGAGAGCATGAGTGAGAGAGAGAATGCACAAGTGCCCTGGTGGCACAATGGTTAATTGCTCGACAGCACTTAACACCACCACCACCATCCAAAAGGTCAGCGGTTGGAAGGGTTGGAAGATGTGATAGCCTGCTTTGGAAAGATTAGTCTTGGAAACTCTATGGTGCCATTCTTATGAGTCAGATTTAACTCAACAACTATGGGATATGTATGTGTATGTTGTTGTTGTTCAGTGCCGTCGAGTCGGTTCCGACCCATAGTATGTGTGTGTGTGTGTGTGTGTGTATATATATATATATATATATATCGTAGTGGTTACGAATCAGGCTGCGAACCTTAAGGTCAGCGTTTCGAAACTACCAGCCACTCCGCGGGAGAAAGATGAGGCTTTCTACTCCCGTAAAGATTTACACCCTCGGAAACCCTGTACAGGGTCGCTATGGGTCGGAACCGACTCGACAGCACTTAACAACAACAACAACATTATATATATATATATATATGTACATTGTTGTTGTTATGTGCCATCTAGTTGGTTCTGACTCATAGTGACCCGTTACAGAGTTTCCAAGGAGCAGCTGATGAGCTTGAACCGCTGACCTTGGGATTCAAACCAACCTTATAGTACAGTGCATTAACCCACAGAATCACACCAGGACTACACACACACACGTTTGTATTTGTATATATATAGTATATTTTTGCTGTTGTTGTAAAGTGCCATCGACTTGGTTCTGCCTCATAGCAATTCTGCCTCATAGGGTTAATCTTTGCAGGAGCAGAAAGCCTCATCTTTCTCCCATGGAGCAGCTGTGGAGCTTGAACCTCCAACCTTGTGATTCACAGTCCAGTGTTTATTGTACTGAGCCACCACAATCCCATAGCAACCCTGTCCAGGGTTTCCAAGGCTGCATGAAATATATATGAGGTGACAAAAGCAGTACTGGAGATTGCATGATAGAATTTTGTAGCATCAATGAATTATTCATTTCAAATATCTTTTCTGAACAACATAAATAGCAACTCTACATAGGCAACTATACACATGCCACACCAGATGGAATATGCGAAAATCAAATAGACTACAAGCGTGGGAAGAAATGAAGTTCAATATCATCAGCCAAAACAAGGCTAGGGGCCAACTGTGGAACTGACCATCAACTGCTGATATGCAAGTTCAGGCTGAGGCTGAAGAAAATTAAAACAAGTCCAGGAGAACCAAAATAAGACCTTGAGAGTAACCTATCTGAATTTAGAGACCATCTCAAGAACAGATTTGATGAATTAAGACATTAACGACCAAAGACCAGAAGAGATGGGGGATGACATCAAGAACATCATACATCAAAATAGCAAAAGTTAATTTAAAAGACAGGAATGAAAGAAAAGACCAAAATGGATGTCAGAAGACATTCTGAAACTTGCTCTTCAAAGTAGAGAAGCAAACGCAATTGGAAGAAATGATGAAGTAAAAGTGCTGAACACAAATTTCTAGGTAGCTTGAAAAGACAAAATCAAGTATTATAATGAAATGTGCAAAGACCTGGAGTTAGAAAACTAAAGGGGAATAAAAATATGCTCAGTATTTCTCACACTGAAAGAACCAAAGAATAAAATCAAGCCTCGGGGTGCAACACTGAAGGATTCTACGGGCAAAATCTAATTGTGCTCATAGACCAAAAGGCAGTTGTTTGAAAAGAACAAGAGAATACTGAATGGTCTGAAATCAGGAAACATGTGCACCAGGGTTGTTTCCTTTCACCATACTTGCTTAATTTGTATACTAAACAAATAATCCCAGAAAATGGATTATACGCAGTAAAACATCACATCAGGATTAGAGGGAGGCTCACCTGTGATTTGCAGAAGACACAATCTTGCTGGTGAAAGCAAAGAAAACTTGAAATACTGAGGAAGATCAAAGACTACAGCCTTCAGTGGAGATTGCACCTCAATGTAAAGAAAACAAAAATTCTCACAACTGGACTCATAAATAGCATCATGTTAAAGGGAGAAACGATTGAAGCTGTCAAAAGACTTCATTTTGTTTGAATCTATAATCAACACTCAAGGAAGCAGCAGTCAAAAAAATCAAACCACATTTCACAAATCTGCTGCATAAGATTTTTTTTAAGTGTTGAAGGGCAAAGATGTCACTTTGAGGACTAAGGTGATTCTAACCCAAGCCATGATATTTTCAATCATATACATGTGAAAGTTGGACAGTGAGTAACAAAGACTATAAGAATTGATGCATTTGAATTATGGTGTTGGTGAAGAATACTGAAAGTACTAAGGAATGGCATAAAAACAAACAGATCTGTCTTGGAAGAAGCACAGCCAGAACGCTCCTTAGAAGCAAAGATGGCAAAACTTCATCTCTCATACTTTGGACATACCAGGAGAGACCAGTCCCTGAAGAAGGACATGCTTGGAAACATGGAGGCTCAGTGAAAAAGAGGAAGACCCCCCAACAAAGTGGATTGATGCAGTGGTAGCAACAACAGCCTCAACATCACCAACAATGGTGAGGATGGTGCTGGACTGGGCAGTGTTGCATTCTGTTGTGGTACACAGGGTTGCTAAGAGGCAGAACTAACTCAGTGGCACATAACAATATCAACAATGGGCAAAATATTGAATGGTACAGGAAGCCTCAAAAGAAGGTAGAAGGAATACACAGTTACTGTACCAAAAAGAAATGGCCAATGTCCAGTCATTTCAAGAGGTAGTACCATATGATCAAGGAACAATTATTGAAGTTCGAAGAAGTCCAACCTGCAATGAAGGCAACAGCAAAAAACAAGGCTCCAGGAATTGATGGAAATACAAATTGAAATGTTTTGACTAACTTAAAGAGTGCTGTAGGCATTCACACATCTAAGCCAAGAAAGTTGGAAGACAACTACCTGATCAATCGACTGAAGAGATCCATATATGTGACCATTCCAAAGAAAGGTGATGCAATGGAATGCAGAAATCATTGAACAATATCATTAAAATCTCATGAAAGTAAAACTTTAAAGATAATTAAAAACAGTTGCAGCAGTACAACAACAGGGAACCTCCAAAAATTCAAGCTAGATTCAAGAAGAGGATGTGGTGGAAGTAGGTATATAACTGCTGAGGTCACATGGATCTTGGTTAAAGCAGAGAATACCAAAAAAAAAAGATGTTTACTTGTGCTTTATTGATGGTGCAAAGGCATTTGATTATATGGAACATAACAAGCTATAAATAACTTTGCAAAGAATGAGAACTATGGAATACATTATTGTGCTCATAAGAAACCTGAACATGAACCAAGAGGCAATTGTTAGAACAGTAAAGATGTGCATCAGCGTTATATCCTTTCACCACACTTGTTCAATCTATACGCTAAGCAAACAATTCCAGAACCTGTATTATATGAGACGAACATGGCATGATTGGTAGAAGATTCATTAGCAATCTGCGGTATGCAGATGACAACAATTTTGCTTACCAAAAGTGAAAAGGACTTGAAATACTTAGTGATAAAGTTCAAAGACTACAACCTTCAGTATGGATTGCAATGCAATATAAAGAAAATTAAAATTTTCCCAACTGACCAATATATATCATGAAAAAAGGAGAAAAGACTGACGTTGTAAAAGACTTTATTTACTTTGCTTAAATCCACTATCAACACTCAATCTGTACGCTAAACAAATCATCCGAGAAACTGGATTATATGAAGAATGTGGATTGGAGGAAGACTCATTAACATCAGGATTGGAGGAAGACTCATTAACAACCTACGATATACAGATGATAACAACCTTGCTGAAAGC